GAAATCCATTATCTTTAGCCTACCCATTTGTCTTGAGCCATACACCCAGTCATGCCAACTCCCAAACACTTGGCACTTTTACGTTGTCAATTAAATATATCTAATTCAAAAGTCATCATCATCAATCTTCTCAAATATAGTCAACTCTCATTATTCACGGTATTAATAGTTACGTTCTATAAAGTCACTGCAAACACTGAATTAGTGATTACTGAACCATTGCTTCTAGGTGAAATTCATAGTTTCTGTGAGCTTCTGGTCACATTTTCATCAACCAATCAGTGCATAACTTTGATTTATGAGTGTTTCTATTTAAATATACTTCATTTAATATATATTATTGATTCACTAATGTTGAATTCACACTATACTCATGCCTGAAAGAAGCTTATCTAATGCATGTGTTTTCTCTGTAAGGCACATCACAGACTTGTTGAGTCTAGGAACACTAGATAGCACTTCAGTACTATGATTGGAGGCCATTTTAAACAGCAAAAACACCAACAAAAAGCACAAAAATGCAAAAAACGTGACACTGGATAGACTGTGAAAATGATACTTGTTTATAGTATGAAAACTAACAAAAGGCAGAGAATTGCCTTATTTAACCTTGGCTGGGAACATGGGCATTGGGCAACTCAAATTTTTTGCTATGCACACGTCTATACATGACAATGAGAGACTATGAATATCGATCTAAGGGTTATAAATAAATTTTAGCAAGTAGGCTAATTTGTAAATAAGAGTCTGTGAATAATGAAGATTGACTGTGTATTTCTTCTACATATGTTTTCTCTCTCATTAAATGATGCCACTGTCAAACCACTTATCCAGGTTAGAAACCTTGTATCAGTGTTCTTCTCTTCCTATTTTTTATCACCCATATCTAATTAATTACCAGCTTGTACCTCCTAAATATATCTCAGATTCTGACTAATCGTTTTGAATAGAAGTTTTTCTTTCTTTCTTTTACTCTCTACAATACAACTTCCAAAATATCTAAAACTCTATGGTCATTTGAGTCCAAATATCTTAACATAATTTATAAAGCACTCCAGCCTCATCTCTTATCAACCCTATTCCTTATACCTGAAGTTTTAGCTATGGACAACTTCTTTCAAATTCTTGGGATATGTGATGCCTTTTAAAAATTTGAACGTCTTTGTTTCTACTAGGAAGATTTTTTCCCTTTCTCTTTACCTGGCTTACTCCTCTCATTCTTCAGTTGGGAGTATACATGTCATTTTTTCTGAGAAGCTTTCTCTGACACTTCCCCCACCCACTACACACACACACTCAAACACACATATCACTCCTAACCATAGGATTCTGTAGTTCATTTGAATATAATTGTTTGTTTAATTGCCAGTCTTCTACCCTTGACTATAAATTCAGTGAAGACAGGGACCATTCTCAGTGCCAATTACATGGTAAGCGCTTAGTATATATTAAGTGACTGGTTTTTCTGTGAGATTGTGTGCTTTAATTATCATAAAGCTTTTGGAGCGTTGTAATACTAATGGCATAAGATAGGGGAAAAAAACCTTTTCACTTCCCTGCTTATTGTTTTATATCTATTTGCTTATGTCTTCAACAGCTTTTTTTTTTAATGTTAGTGATTCAAAGAGCTTGAAGTGAAACTTTTATAGTTCATCTAGTGGCCTATTTGTGAATAGACAGGTACTTCACCAATTACTCAATTGGATTAGTCAAACATTTACTTCTCAAATTCCACCTTTAAGCACTGAGTTGACAAAATTGGCAAAGGGAATAGAATAACCAAAGGTGAATTTATTTAATAGGCGCTAAAGAAAATTCAAGTCGTTTTTGTAATGGAAAGCCAGACCTATTAGATAAATTGGTCTTTTCTTTTGTTTTTATTCTACCAAAGGAATATTTGAAAGGCAAAACTATGTCCCGTTTAGAATTAAGTAGAGGTTCACTATCTGATTTTTATATAGAATTTCATCTTATATATGTTCTATCATTTACAACAAAAAATTAGTGTATTATGGTCTAATTAGAGAGAAGGCTTTCCCTAAATTCTCAAGTAAGTGTTTCTTGGCTCCAAAGCACGTTGAATATGTAATGTCACACTAGCATAATAAAGGTCCTTTAGGGCTGTTAACCTTAAAACGAGAAGCCCTTCGGTGTGTACAAAATGTAATTAACATTTAATAATACCACTTTGCTGTGAAATGCTGACAAGTTGGGAATAACTTTAACAAACTAGCAGTTTCCACTTCTTATTTCTGAAATGGAATAATTTGCTTCCTTATTAACTTATGAACTACGAAAGCCTTGAAATAGCTGTCCTAATGTTTGATTTCATTTTATAGGCAGAAAAACTCAGGTGTGTACAGTCATAATCACTTGAGAATTTTAAAACCTTTGTTTTCAAGCTACACTGGGGTTTAACAAACCATGACCCATGGGCCAAATCTAGCCTGCTGCCTATTTTTGTATGGCCTGTGAACTAAAAATAGTTCATTACATTTTAAAATCAAAAGAAGAATATTTTGTGATAGGTGAAAATTATATGAAATTTTGATTTCGGTTTCCACAAATAAGATTTTACTGGAACACAGCCACATTCATTAATTTTTGTCTTGTCTATGAATGCTTTTGCATGATCACAGCGGAGCTGAATAGTTGCCCACCAAGCCTAATGTATTTATTATCCTGCTGTTAACAGAAAATGTTTGCTAACTCCCAAGCTACACTACTGTGTTTAGATGATTTAGTACTTTAAGTCAACTTTCTCAATTTAGGGTTAATTTAATCTAACAAAGAAATTATGTTGAATAACGTTTTTCAAATTTTCTAGATGGCAAAGGAAACTGAACTAGGTATTGCTCGAAGTTCATAGTTTTTCTGATGGCCAGGGCTTTCACTTTAATCATTGATTTTATCTTATTTGTTTTTTATTTGTTTATTTATTTGTTTTTATCTTAAAATAACAGAAATTTACTATCTCTCATAGTTCTGGAAATCAAGGTGCTGACAGGGCCCTGCTCTCTCTTCTAGTTTCTGGTGGTTTCTCTATAATCCTTGGTTTGCCGCAGTATAACTTGAATCTCTGTCTCCTTTGCATGTGCCTCTTCCTTCTGTGTGTCCATTTCTTCACCTAGTGTTCTCTATGTGTGTGTGTGTGTCTTATTTTTGTTGTTGTTGTTGTTTTTGTTTTTAGACTAAGATAGGGTTTTGCTCTGTTGCCCAGGCTGGAGTGCGGTGGCCTGATGATAGCTCGGTGTAACCTCAAACTCCTGGCTCAAGCAATATTTCCACCTCAGCATTTTGAATAGCTAGAACTATAGGCATGTGCCACCACACCTGGCTAATTTTTAAAAATTTTTTATTTGTAGAGACAAGGTCTTGCTATGTTGCCCAGGCTGGTCTCAAACTCCTGATTCAAGCAATCCTCCTGCCTCAGCCTCCAAAAGTGCTGGGATTACAGGCATGAACCACTGTGCCCAGCTTTTTATTTATTTTTTAAATAAACACTTGCATAAGTGCTTAATATTTATCAGATTCTGTTCTAAGAGCTTTATAACTCTTTTAAATTCTTGTTACAGCCATATGAGATTGGCATTTCTACAAATGAGAAAACCACAGCACATCTATTAGTGAAAGTTAAGTAAACAGTAGAACTTAAATTAGTGGAAGGGAATTTATACAGTTATTTATAGCAGTTAATACATCTAGTAAGGGGCAGAGTCAGGATTTGAATGTAATCATCTGGTTCTAAAATCAGTGCCCTTTACTACCATGTTGTGTTGTCTTTTCCTTTCTACTCTTGGTTATTTAGAAAAAGCCTTGGAATAAGAGTACAATTTAGTAATAGAAGAAGCATGATATTTTAAAAACTTTGAGCTTGTATTAGTTTCTTAGAGCTGCTATAACATAGCACTACAAAGTGGGTGGTTAAAAGTTCGGGAGACTAGAATTCCAAAATCAAGGCATCAGAAGGGCCATGCTCCCCCTGAGATGCTGGGTAGAATCCTTTCTTATGTCTTTATAGCTTCTGCTGGTGACCAGCAATTCTTGATGTTCTTAGCTTCCAGCTGCATCACTCCAACCTCTGCCCCCGTTGTCACATGATATTCTCCCTGTGTGTCTCTATATCTGTGTCTTTTCTCTTTGCCTTTAAAGGACACCAATCATATTGTATTAAGGACTCACACTATACTAGTATGACTACATCTGAATTTAACTAATTATATCTACAATGACCCTATTTCCAAATAAATTCACACTTCTAATGTTTTGGGAAGGACATGAATTTTGGGAGAACACTATTCACCCAGTACAGAGCTTATCAGCCAGATCTTATTCTCTAGAGCCTTTCTCCTTTTAAGCTCAGAAATCCTAAATGAAAAGTGGAAACTGTGCACCAAGAATTTCCAAGGCTTTGTTTATTCTTTTTTGGGTTTAATCCTATGTTAGATTATAAAGACTCATTTACTTTTCACGAGAGAGAGAGAGAGAGAGAGAGAGAGAGAGAGAGAGAGAGAGAGAAAGTCTCTGCTTTTTTCATGCTTCCCATTGGTCCTTTGCTCATGATTCATCTGAAGGCTGTTTTTTTCGTTTGTTTGTTTCTTTTTTCCTGGACATTTTTCTTCTGTGTTCTGAGTGTTCTGTGAGTTCATTAAGGAACATTTCCTCACCTGTTATTATAACCTATGGAAAGGTTGGTTTGCTGTCATTCTTGTGAGTTTGTGATAGTTGATTCACAAACCAGCTTTGGTGTGCTGATGATTGAGTTCTGGAAGTTTCCTTATAATGATATTTTGTATACACTCTTATGGGTTTGTAAGTAAGGTTCAATAAGTGGTTATAGTTATTTTTATTTTCTAAGGTTATTATCATTGTTCAAATGGGATATTTTGAGAAATGTGGTACTACCTCAAATTCCAGACCTCGGACCTTCCATTTTCCTTTGAAATGCAAGAGTAATTGATCTAATTTTGTCAACCCATTTCCTTTTGTTTATTTTCCAGGGTGCGCGGGAAACATTTGAGAATTATTACCGAAAACAAAGGCGAAAACAGGCTCGTTTGGTACTCCAGCCTCCATCTAACATGGTAGGACTACCACCTTACCTTCACTTTTCTCACATTTTCACTTTCCTTCTTTGGTATCTTTTGATTAGAGAGAAAAAGAGAGAGAGGCAGAGAGAGAGAGAGAGAGAGAGAGAGAGAGAGAATGTGTTTACTATCATTCTGAGACCACCTTTGGTGAATGTGATTTGCAGTAAGAAACCATCTATGGATTACTATGTGTCAGGCATTGTTCTAAGTACTAGATATGTATTGTATCTTTTCATTCGTCATTGAAATCCTATAATGTAGGTACTATTATTATATTTACCTTATAGTCTAGGCAGCAGTCCCCAACCTTTTTTGCACCAGGGACTGATTTCATGGAAGACAAATTTCCATGGACTGGAGCAGGAGGGTGTGGGGGGTGATGGTTTTTGAATGATTCAAGTGCATTACATTTATTGTGCAGGCAAACCTCTCTGCTAATGATGATCTATATTTGTAGCTGCTCCCCAGCACTAGCATCACCACCTCAGCTCCACCTCAGATCATCAGGCATTAGATTCTCATAAGGGGCGTGCAACCTAAATCTCTCACATGCACAGTTTACAGTAGGGTTCCTGCTCCTATGAGAATCTAATGTTACCACTGATCTAATGAGAGACAGAGCTTATGTGGCGATCCCAGCAATACGGAGTGGTTGTAAATACAGATGAAGCTTTGCTAGATTGCCCACTGCTCCCTTCCTGCTGTGTGGCCTGGTTCCTAACAGGCCATTGAGAGGTACCCACAGATAGGTATCAGTCCACGGCCCGGTGTCTGGGGACCACAGGTCTAGGGAACTGAGCCTTAAGGGATTAAGTAACTGATTTTAACTTTGTCTTAATGTAACAAAACAGAAACAATAACTTTTCCTTCTTTGCTTTGTTGTAGCATGAAACTTTAGATGGCTACAGGAAGTATTTTAATCAAATTGTAGGGTAGGTATATATATTTATTTAAATGTGTACACTTTTAATACATAGAATTATGAGACTTGGAAAAATAAATCAGGTTTTTCTTGGGAGATTCTTTTGTTTTCTTTTACTAAATCCTTAAGATAGGATTTAATTTAGATTTTCTAATGATTTAAAAGAAACATCCTATTGTTTTAACATTATATTGGTGAAGGGTACTTTTTGTGAATAAAGGGAGAAAAACATTGAATTGTAATCTTATACATGATGTTTTGTTTCTCTGTTCTTGGTGAGATGGAATGAAATAATCAATGAAAGTTGGCATTTTTTTTTCTAAAAGGGCCAGCTAGTAAAGTATTTTAGGCTTAGCAGGCCATACAGTCTCTGTCACAACTATTTAGCTCGGTTATTGTTGTGTGAAAGCACCTAGAGACAATACGTAAATAAGTGAGCATGGCTGTGTTCCAGTAAAACAATCTTAATAAAAACAGGCAGTGGGCCAGATTTAACCCATGGGCTATAGTTTCCCACCCTCATCTAGAGTGTATATAGTGGTATGGAATTGCAGTTCCCAAATAAACACCCCAAATACAGGCAGCTTGTTCTAATTGCAAAATAATGACTATACTGTTAAAAGTAAAGGAAATAAATTGGATTCTTTCATCAAGTTTTTCTTTTATTTCTGATTTATATTGTTTCAATGTAATTAATAGTCTTGATTAAAATCTGTCATAAAATTCCCTAATAAAATATTATTTTTATTAATATGAATATTTAGGCAAGATAGCTAACTATACATTTTAAATGCATAGTAACAAAAAGCCACAACAAGAATATTCAAAAATATGTTTGCTTTTATTTTTTTTTAAACCTTTGTAAGATACTTTTCAACACTTTGATGAGAGTCCACATAAGGGGAATTATTTTGATATTTTGTGTGTTGGGTTCTTATAAATATATCAGTATTTCAGCTCTCATTGTCTCCTTCAAATCCATTAATTTTTTAAAATTTATTGCCTGGTGTTTTTTAACATAGTGAAATTAGCATCCATTACCTTTATACATTTTCCCCCTGTTAGCTGTATAACATAGTTACCATTTAATAGAAATTTAACTTCAATCACTGTAGAAGTGGTTAAGGAGATATCACTATCATGGATGTAATTCTTAGTCCAAGAAGTCTGATTTCATTTATGATACTAAACAGCTTTCTCAAAAGAAAAAAAATGACTATTAATTTTGAATTTGATGGCAGTTCTTAATGTTTGTCAAACCCTGGAGATAGTAATCAAGCTGAAATTTCTGACAGCTGTGCTTTCTTTTTTCCTCACTCTTAGCTTTTTTGTGGTTGAAGATCACATTTTACATACAACCCAGGGCTTAGTAAATAGAGCCTACATTGATGAACTATGGGAAATGGCACTTTCAAAAACCATCGCAGCACTCCGTACCCATTCGGTATGTATGAAGCTCTTAGCTTTTTTTGTGGTTGAAGATCACATTTTACATACAACCCAGGGCTTAGTAAATAGAGCCTACATTGATGAACTATGGGAAATAGTAAGGATAGTAAGGAATTACTTGGCAAAATCAAAGGAAATTGCAGAGATAGATAGGCTAAACAGTAAAGCTGCCTTTTCCCTGAGGTCACTTATTAGTAATTTTTGCAGAGGATGTATTTTGTATATTGAAAATCCAAAGGAAATTACATTAAAATTATTACAGTTAATAAATGGGTTTAGCAAGTTTCCAGGTTATAAATTTATTATATGAAATTAATTGTGTTTTTATAAACAGAATAAAATTTGAAAACCTAAAAATTTATTTATCCTTACAATTCCTAATATAAACTTTAGTTAATGATGATATGTTGATATTGGCTCATCAATTATAACCATTGTACCATAGTAAGGCAAGATGTGAACCTAGGTGAACTGTGTGGATGTATGTCTGAAGGGATATATGGGAACTCTGTATTTTCTACAAACCCAAAACTGCTCTAAAAATAAAGTTTTTTAATTAAAAAAATATAAACAAACAAAAAACTAAGGAAAGACACGGAAATGATTATCATAAAAATCAGAATATTGTTTCCCTGAGTAGGGAGGAATGGAGTTGTGATAAGAGTATCTGTGAGCTTCTGGCATGCTGGCACTGTTCAGTTTTGTTGGACTGGTAAAATTTGCATACAGGTTTTCATTTTTCTTTATGTATACTATATTCACAATTTTAAGAAATGTAACAAGGAGGGAAAGTATGGAAGCAAGCCAAAGGAGGGTGTAATTGAAGATAAAAATTGGTTTGTTGGAAATTTATGATTATCAGAATAGAGAAATTCAATTGGAAGATTAAATGGATAAGACTACATATCATTCTGTGATCAAGAAGATAAAGTGAAATGTATACCCCACAATATAGAGCAAAGACATAAAGGCAAGGAAAACATGAAAGGAAAGTTAAGAAACATGGATAATTGATGTAGACTTTTGGATGTATCTAATAGAGATTTAGAAAGAAAGGACAATGACAAAAGAGGGGACTGTAATAATAAACTACAAGAAGGAAATTGCCCTGCAGTGAAAAAGACCAGTTTCTTAAAGTGGAAAGAATGCATTTAGTGTCAAGCAGGGTAAATGAAAGAAGACAATTTTTTCATACCTGAAATTTTATATTTTAGCTTGAGGGCAAAATGAAAGGCATTTTCATATAAGTAAAGATTCAAATTTTACTCTTTACCAATCCTATCTTTAAAAGATTCTTACTAGTCTTCTCAAAAAAGTGAAAAAGAAATCCAAAATATGAGATAGAATTAAATAAATGCAAAAAATGATAAAATTTATAGATAAATTTAATATTATTTTTTGTAATATTATTTGTAATATTTATTATTTGTAATATTTGCTTATTTGTAATATTTAATGCTATTAATAATTCCTACAAAAGGTGATACATCATGTTCAAGAGGCTTTTTAATGTAGACTCTAGATTATTTCAAGTAAACAATGGGTAAAAAGAATATAATTTATTAATCACTGTGAGGTAATCAAAAAGAAATAAACCAATAAAAAACACTAAAGGAAATAAAAAAGAAATGATGATAAATAGCGAACTTAAAATAAAATGGCTTGACTACGTCCACGTATGTCAGTAATCCCAGGAAATGTCAAAGTCCTAGAAAATTTTATAGTGTGGTTAGTAGGAGATATTAATAAATTAAGATTACCTAAACAGACTGAAAATAAAGATGGAGAAGCAGAAATGGCCGTATTCCACAAGGCAAATAGAGTTGATGTTGGAGAACTTCAAATGGGAAAAGAGAGAAAGATTTTGTATCAATATTAACTTTAAACCACTGGAAAGACAATAGCCCTTTTACAAGGAACAAGGAAGCATCAATATATATAAAACAAAAACTGTTAGTATAAGCAGCATCATTATGGGAGAATTCAACTTTCAGAAATTGAGAGGTCAAGAGCAAGTAACAAAAATTATAATTGAGAAAATTTAAATATCAAAATCAGTGAACTTTTAAAATAGTGACATATTCATCAAAATAAATGAACTTTTAAAATGATGACACAGACATCTTTATAACCTGCCCACAGAAACTATCCTCCATGTCAGTTTTCATATTTATTGATAATGATATGGATTATATTGGTAATTCTTATTTTCCTGTGTATTTTATTTTCCTTTTTGGATTTCTTGTATTGTTTAGCATTATTTTCTCTTTATTGTTTAATTGTATTTGCATAAGATTTGTCTATTTTACTGATTTTATTTTTAACTTGGGCTTTTGGTTTAATTAATCAAATCTTTCATATCTTTTTCATGTCATTTATTTCTGCTTTTAATTTTCATCAGTTTTATTCTTATACTACTTATGATTTATTTAGCTGTCTTCCCTAGTTTCATTAGTTCAGTGCTTAGTTTATTTTCAATCTTTAAGGTTTTCTAATGTGTGCATAAAATAAATAAATTTATTTTTAAAGTGGCTTTAGCCTCTTATCATAGGTTTTGACATGCAGTATTTTATTGTTCATTTTAAAATAATCTATAGTATCAATTGTTTTTATTTTTAACCCAACAGTTATTTAGAAGAGTGTTTTTAAATTCCAAGCATTAAAAATACAGATTATGGCTACTGAACTCTCTCAATTTAGCTCTTTCGTGGTTGAATCTGATGCTACCTTATTCTATAAAAGTGTTGGATTCTTTCTAGGGAGCCATTAGCAGGTTAAGCATTAAACAATTAAATTACATTTTTAATAATTAAGATGTTTTATTCACTTTGTCTTTTATTTCTTTTAGTCTTACTGCTCTGATCCAAACCTTGTGTTAGATTTGAAGAACCTCATTGTACTTTTTGCTGACACACTTCAGGTATGTGACTTCTGTTTACATATGCTCATCTAGATCAGTATTTCATCAGCCCTAAATCTTTTCATTGTCTACTTAAACTTGGTTAAGTTTACTTTCAGTTTTTAGTTGTGTTTATTCTTTTCCTAGATCTAGATTTTTTTTTATCTTTTTATATAGCATTTTCTGGGCTTCAACCTGACCCTTTATGTTTTCATAAATAGTTCCCACTCCCTTTTTTCTCTCAAGTCAAATCAATTAATTGAACCGCTTACTACGCTTACTAGTTTTTCAAAATGTTCTTAATTCAGATTTGGTGCCTGGGTGATTTTGTAGTTTCTTTACCTACCATCTTGAATAATGATGGTTGATTTGAGCCACCTATTATATCTAGTAAAATAACATTAGAAGTGGGTGAGATTGGTAACATTTTCACTTTCTCTCTCTTCTCTGAAGGCTGCTACAAGTAGGAGAAGTTATAGGAGAAATTGTAGGAAGGGCTTAGCTGACAATACACCCAGTTACTGACTGGCTTAGAATTTTGTTGTGTTTCTTAATTCTTGAGAGATAAACACTAGGTATGAGGTGGGAATGAAAGATTCTACCATGTTGGTTTCATTTAAATAACCATCCAAAGAACAAAATGTCTAAATATCTTTCAGTGCCTAATCTGTCTTGTTGCTTTAAAAAAAATCACCTTAGAAAATGAAGCTATTTTCTTATTTTGTTTCAGGTGTATGGTTTTCCTGTAAATCAGCTTTTTGACATGCTATTAGAAATCAGAGACCAGTATAGTGAAACTCTGCTAAAGAAGTGGGCAGGTATTTTCAGGTGAGAAATTACCTGTAGTCATATGTGTATATGTTCGTGTGCATTGCTGTACACACATTTATTTATGTACAGGTTTTTCAGCTGCAGTAGACAATAAGTATATATGGCTTATATTTTCTAGCTACTCCAGGTTATGATCCAGAATTCAAGAGAATTGTGATAAGGTCCAAGATATCCAATCCCAGTGTATTAGTGTCTACTATGTTGGGAAGTCCCTAAACCCTATTTTGGCATTTTTGTTTCCTTGGTTGCATATCATATCCCTTGGTTCATACCATCCAGATCATCTTGCATCTTCTTATTTGCTTTTTTGGTTTTCTCTTGGAGGTTCATGCCTAGTTTACAACTCACTTACAGTAAGTGGCATTTGAGCCCTTATGAATAATTTGGGCTTTGGGGAAGCCTTTTTTGAGGACTCATGTTATTCCTCATTATCTTTCTTCTCTACACACAGAGAAGGGGCCTATTATAGTCCAAAGTTTAAAGCCCATTATTTAAGTAGTTCTTGCAGTGTACATACAATAATAAGAAAGTTATTCTGTTACATCTCCCATTCAAAAATGTCTCCTTGGACTGTTTTCTTGGCACATACTTCATGTCAACTCACATTAATTTCTTCTCTTTTGAAACCTTTATCCTTTACTTTAAGTGATTTTCCTGTCTATTGCAAGACCCATTCCCCATCAGCTTATCCTGTTTTTAATTTCTTACAGATTTAAGATCTTACATTCTTTTAACCTTACTCTTCACAGTTTGTGAACATATCCCCCATTATCAATTCATCTGTATATTAATATAAATATTAATGTTTCTAAAACCCAGACTTATCTATTGTTATAATTATATTTGGGGAGGGTTATCTCTACAGGAAGTTTGAAAATTAATAACATGGTATATCCATAGACATAGATGCTTTGGATCTGATACCTTCAGTGAGTCCCTGTTTTAATTTTGGTTGTATAGTCCCTGCTTTTAGAGAACACCCAATCTAGTTAAGGAGGGAGAAATACAGATGAAAAAAAATCATGATTAACATAGAGCAGTAGATGAAGTAAGTGAATATAGTTTGGATTTATTATTGAAGTTATTTTTCCTATTTGCCAATTTTTTAAAAATTTATTTTTACTGAGGTAAAATAAATAATTTACCATCTTTATCATTTTTAAGTGTATAGTTCAGTGGTAATAAATACAATTAATATTCTTTTTGTTTCCCTTCATCCTTCCTCCTCTTCCCCACCATTTGCTAATTTTGAAAGTTAGAATGGAAGATCTAGTACAGGGTTACTGTTGTTGTTTACTTCTCACTTGCCTTGAATTTTTTTGTCTCATTTGTAAATTTCAAATACTAGGAGTTCATATTTATAATTATGTTCCATTTGTTTCAGAGTGTAGGTTTCTTTCTATCTTTTTAAAAAGACAGCCATACCCAAAACCAAATAGCTGTGTTGTGGATTTAAGATCTGGGAAACATTCGGTTTGGGTTGGGGTATATATACAATTATTAGAGTTCATCAGAAAAGTATTTTAATTAACCACTACTTGCTCCCTTCCTTCCTTTCTTCCATTTTATGTATAGAAGCATACTTGATTCTGACAACTACAGTCCCATACCAGTAACAAGTGAAGAGATGTATAAAAAGGTGGTAGGACAATTCCCATTCCAAGATACAGAGCTGGAAAAGGTAAGGAATGCTTTAAAATAAACTTTGGTTTTGGCATCCTCTAAAACTTTCATTGGATCAATTTCATTGAAAGGATTACCTTCAACTCTGTGTGTTAGCACTCTAAAACACCTTCAGAGGACTCTTTTTGGGGCTTAGAGGAACAGAATTTCCTGATTAGCAAATCAGTAGATGGCTTTAAGTCCATCCCATTACCTCTGAAATGTTTAGAGGATTACTAGGGATATTGGTTTACACTTTGAAATACTTGCTTTTATTATACGCTTAAGACATTTTCTCCCCAAAATATACAGTAAAATATATTCTTTGTGGTATATAATTCTGCTGGTTTTGACAATGTATTGAGTCATGTATCCACTACCACAATAATGATACAGAACAGTCCTGTCATAGACTCATGCTGCCCATTTTTAATCAACCTCTCCCCTAACCCTAGACCCTGGAGACCATCAATCTGTTCTCTATCTACTTTTCCCTTTTTCAGAATGACATATAAATGGAACCATACAGTATGTAACCTTGAGACTGACTTCTTTGACTCAGCAAAATGCTTTTGAGATTCATTTAAATTGGTGCATATGTCAATAGTTCATTCCTTTTTATTGCTGAGTATATACTATAATTTGCTTATCCATTTATATGATTAAGGACATTTGGATTATTGTTTTATTTAAATTTATGCCTTACTCTTTTGGTTTCAGAAAACTTTTAGGGACATTTTCTTAAATTTGAGGTTGTTAAACAGATAGTTCACAGTGTAGAGAATGTTCCTTTTGTAATTTAAATAATTTATAAATATTTTTAATGTTTGTTGTTTTGTGACTTGATTTCATTAATTCTTGCATTTACAGCAACCATTTCCCAAAAAGTTTCCTTTCTCTGAATTTGTGCCAAAAGTTTACAACCAAATTAAAGAATTTATCTACGCTTGTCTGAAGTTTTCAGAAGATCTTCATCTAAGGTATCATATGAAGCAGTGGAAATGCAACCAATGCTAAGATTGTGACTCTATATACGTAAATATTCTGAAAAACTTGATATTCCTTTCAGCTTTGATTTTGAAAGTCCTAATATTAGCTCTTCACTGCATGGCACTGCTATATTTATGTAGTCATGATGAAAGGGAAAATTGGTAACTTTTGAATAATTTAAAAATTTCATATTATCCATCCTGTTCTCTGTTATTTTCTTTACAGTAAGATTTGTACTTAATCCTTTCTATTGATGGGAATTCACTAGAAAATTATAGTATGACATACTAATTTTAATTTTCTACTTGATGAAATCTTAAGACCAGAAGGGGAGTAGCAGATACAATTGTCTGGAGCCATTATTGCTCTACATGTGTATATATGTTTCTGTATGGCTAGACTATAGGCCCCTTTGTTTCTTTATTCATTTATTGGTTTATTCATCATATACTATAGCCAACCTATTATTTGTCAGATGTTACTTGGTACTGAAGACAATAAGACATTAAGATGCTGAAAATATGATCCCTGTCTTCTAGGAGTACCTAGTCTAATTGAGGAATTAAGCAATTAGTCATAAGTACTGGTGTATACAGCAGCAACATAGGATCCAAACCAAACACAAACTGAGGATGTTAGAAAAGGCTTCTAGTAAGATAGGACATTTTATCTTTTGTTCAACCCCTGTACCCAGCTCAGTAAATTTTTTTTTAAAAATGAGTGTATGTATGAATGAATGGAAAATGTGGTATGCCAGGCTACCTTGAAAGTAAACATAATTAGAAAATAGTTTGAATCACTTCTTTGATAGCTATTATTACTAAGGAAAAAAAATGAAACATAAAGTTTTTATAATCTTTTCTCTAAAAATGAGATTGGTTTTATAGAAATGTTCTCTGGAAAATGAGATTATCTTTGGAAGTTACAAACCAAAACTCCCCCCATGCAGGGTTTCCATCTCCTTCCCTTTTTGTCCCCATCCCATTGATCAAATGACCACATATCAGAGAATGATCTCTAGAGTATTCTTAGGTATGTTATTGTGATAAATTATTACAAGTTCATTGCAAAATGACTTTTTCTCTCTTCTTTTGGAGGAAAGGTAACATAGAAAAGGGATAATGCCAGATGCCCTTTTCTTGCCTGGATATATCAAGTTTTTGCCTAAAAACTCCCTTTGACATGTTTCATGTTAACAAATTAAATATTCAACTCAGGGGATTTTACAGCTGCATTTTACTCTTTGGTTGCCATTTGTCTTATACCCTAGAGTACATTTACATTATAACCTGGAGTGACAGAAATCACTTTGTCAATCATAGCTATCTTACGGGGAGTGGTTAATGTGGGACATGAAACAATACGTATAAAAACAAGTAGTTCTCTTAAATACAAAAACCTAGAGAAATTACTGGACTGAGATTTTTAGGTAGTTTTAAGGATAATTATGTTCTTAAATCAAACTTTCATTTTTTCCAATAAGAATTTTCTGTTTATAAATATTGAAAAAATATGTAATGACATGAATTCTGAGACACAAAACTCTCTTTGAAACAAATATTTTTTAAAATAGCAAATAAATGGCATTTATATGTTAATATAATGCTCTATCACTTGCACTTGACCTTAAAAAACCAGAAAATATATATATATACACATATACACATATATATATATGTATACACACACATACATATATGTATACATACACACAGTGAGAGATCTTTTTTACATTATAAAATTAGGTCTTTGTAAAGAATTTAGATATATAGAATAGCACAAAGAAGAAAGATTTAAAAGACCCAAAACTTTACCATATAGTAATAACACTTTATATATGGGGATTTTTTTTCTTTTAATCTTTTTTCCATGTGAATACATGCATACACATGGCACTTTTTTTTTTAACAAATTACTGTGAGATATTTCTGTCTCTGTCTATAGTATAGAGTGTTGCTTCCTCTCTAACAATGAGAGAAAAAAATGGATAAGCTACAAAATTAAAACTTTTCTGGAACCCATCAGAGCCAAAGTTACAAGGCAACTATGTAGACAGAAACCCAAGATGGGACTGGTTCCTCCAAGGAGAGGCAGGATGCATAGATACCCCCACCTGTGGCAGAAGAAGGGAGAAACACCATAGAAGTAAGAAAGGGAGAATCAACTAAAGTCTTAAAGGATTGCTAACAGCTTTGTGTGAACTAGCATAACTATATAGAATTCCCTAGTTGGGAGTCCCAGACCCAAGGGGAGTGAGTCCCAGACTCACTCATATGAGCATTTCCATTGACCTTCACTGGGTATGCAAGAGAAAGTTTAGATGCTGGGTGGGAGATCAGAGAGATCCCCTGATGATGTCACAGGTATTGGAGAAAGGGATCAGCCACTGCCATGGGAAAGGCATGAAGTTCTACTTACTCCCTGTTTGAACCCTTCACTCATACAGAACAAAAACTTTGTGGCATGGGGAAATGACAGAACACCCTGCCTCTATGAAGAACATAGGAAAAGACCCATTTTACTGCAGGAAGGATTGAAAAAAAAGAAACTTTCTATTGTGGGAGAAGAAGGGCAGGAAATAGTCTTGTGTCTGGGATCTTATACCAATACCATTAGAGGTCTTCTACCATTGAGAAAAGGGCAGAAGACTCCTGTACTAGACCCACTATAGATACAAAGCAGAGTTTGGCCATCACTGGAAGGAGGAGCAGGGATGTTGAGTGAGCACCAGACACACGGGGACACCTAAGACTGAGGATGGCCAGGACAAAAGAGAAAATACCTTGATTCCCACTAATAGCATAGCAAAAACTGAGTGACAAGTGGCAGCATTCTACCACTGGATGCTGGCCTAGAATGCAGAAAGAGAGATCCCTTCTGTGTTGGAGACATACAGGTATAACTGAGAGCTGCAGATGGTACAGACACATTCTGAAAAACCCTCTGGGACACTAGTACCATATTTGGCTCATTCTATCATTAGTGGAATTTGAAATCTATGAGGCACTGAGGGTAACCATAGCAAAAGCAAAACCCAAACCTAGCTCAACTCTTGCTTATATTGATTCATCTCCCACACTAATGGCCAATACAAGGAGAGATATGGTGATTTCCAAGCACAAACACTGTTTACCTGAGACTCTACTGTTTTACATAAGATGTCCAACCTTCAGTCAAAAATATGAGACATGCAAAAAAGTAATTAAAAATAACTAATTGTCAAGCAACAATGATATTAACAGTACCAGACTCAGATGATCAGATGGTTAGAACTATCACTTAGGGACTTTAAAATACCATGTGCTTGAAAATATAGGAAGTTTTAGCAGACAGATGGAAATTGTAGAAAAGAGTCAAATAGAAATGTTTGAAATAAGAAGCAGTTTTAGAAATGAACAGTTCCTTTGAGGAGGGGCTCACCAGTAGAATTGACATAGCTGAGGGAAAGAATCAGTGAACTTGAGATGGGTCAATAAAAGTTACCCACACTGACACACAAAGAGAAAAAAAGGTGAAATAAATAAAACAAAGTGCCCATGATCTGTGGCTGCAGTTTTGAACAGTAGATTTCAAGAAGGAGAAGACTGAGAGAACAGGGAAGAAGAAATATTTTAAGAGATAATGTCTGAGAATATTCCCCAAATAATGAAAGATATCAAATAAGAAATTCAAGATTTTTAGAACCCAATTCAAATAAACAATAGCAGCAGCAAACAAATGCAATTTTTTTTCTTTTTTCAAGTGAATTAGACAAAAATACTTAAATACATCATTTTCAAACTGGTGAAAATGAAAGATAAAGAGACCGTTTAGAAGGCATTCATAAAAACAAACATTAAATGCAGGCATAATGATAAGATTTACAGTAGACTTCTTGTCTGATACTATACAAGCCAGAGATAATGGAATAACATCCTTGAAGTGACTCAGAGAAAAAAGAAATCAAGCCAGAATTTTATAGATGGCAAAATAATTTTCAAAAATGAAGGGAACATAGTTTTTTTCCAGCAAACAAAAGCTGAGAGAATTTGTTCAAGTACTTTTTATGGCACACAATAAATATTATTTCCTGTTGCTGCTGCTATTATTATTAGTTTGTTATTATTACTGCAAGTACCATTGGCACCCTGATGGTTTGCCAAATAATTCTGCTACCTATGATGACTGATTCTTAACACTTCTTTTTCAGCTCTACTGAAGTTGATGACATGATTCGTAAATCAACAAACCTATTGTTAACCAGGACTCTGAGCAACTCTCTGCAGAATGTCATTAAAAGGAAGAATATTGGGCTTACTGAGGTAAAGCTCCTCTTAATGAAGGCAGTCATGCCAATATGTGAACAGATATGCTAAGTTGCAGGCCTTATGTGTGAATTAATTATAACTTTCTACATGATCTATCATGCTTTTCTTGATAGGCTCCTAATGGTAAAAGTGCAAAATGAAATCTCTGTTCTTTTCTTTGGTCACCTTTGAAAAATCTATTCTTTTTCTAAAATGTCAACCCCCATTCCCCACACTTCTTTCGTTGATTTCACCAGCTTAACTGGTTTTCCTTTCTGAAGTTGTTGGAATTTGTATTACTTACCATTGATCATATAAAAAATTTTTTTGGTTGGAGAATATAGTCAAATCAGGTTCTTATTCAAATAAATGGATATATCCAAATAAATGTTTATATACAACATAGAATATGAAATCACATTTTGCCTGCATAATTATTGATGCCAAGGATACTGGCACTCATATTTCTTGATTAGTGTCAGACTCAGCTTTTGTTTTTCAGATATGAAATGGTAAATTACTCTTTATCAGCATCTAATCAGTTTGACAAAAGGACTAGGGATTTGAGATTGAGGAATCATGAGAAAGGCAATCCTCACATTTCTGAGGAAGTTTATGCATTCTCATAAAGAGAGGAGGGACATTGTACATATGATGAGAATAGTATCTTAGCAAACTGAAGATTTGATCCATTGGTGTATATTCCTAAAATTTAGAAAGATATAAAGTTTTTTTTTGTCTTGGAAATCCAGGATTGCATAGTAGCAATCAACCTGTCATTCACTGAAAGTTATAGTGCCAAAAGAAAGAACTTAGAAGAATTTTTTCCACAGGGAAAGGGAAAGGCTGTTGGCCATTTGTTTTTCTTATAGAGGTGGTGTAATTTGAAAGTCAGTTGCTCTAGGAAAATTAACATTTTCTACACTGTCAAAGAGTATGGTGACTTATATTTTGAAAGGATCACATTGACCATGGTATTGAGAATAAACTGTAGGATGGAAACAGGGAGACCAGTTAGGGGGTTATGACAATAATCCAGTGAGATTTGATAGAAACCTGGGTGGTAGCCATTGACAGTGATAAGATTCTAAGTGTAGAGCCAACATGTTTTCCTGATGATTTATTGTAAAAGAAGAAAGAAAGTGAGAAGTTGAAGATAATTCCAAGATTTTTTGACTTGAGCAACTAAAAGGCTATATATACCATGAACTATGATGGAAAACACTTTAGGGCTAAATTGTGGTGGGGGATGATTAGGAATCAATTTTGGACATATTCAACTTATAGTATTTATTAGGCACGCAGGCTGAGATATTGAATAAACAGTTGTACATAGGAATTTATGGCCTGGAGATAAAAATAATGGAAGCATGTAAATAATATTTATAACCATAGAACTGGCTAATATCACTAAGGGAATGAATAAAGATTCATTTATTATAAGAGGAGAAGAAAAGGGGAGGAAAGGAGAAGATGAAGGACTAAACTCTTGGGCACTCTAATATTAAGAAGCCAGGAGAGAAGAGGAACTAGTAAAGGAGATAGGAAAAGAGCCACCAGGAAAGTAAGAAAAAAAACAAAAATAGTAGCAGATACTGTCCTGGAAGCCAAATAGAGAAAGTATATGAAGAAGGAGAGAGTGATCAACTATGACAAATACTGCTGATAGATAAGATGAAGATTAAGAATTAATTACCATGGGATTTAGCAACCTGGAGTAAGTTGTGACCTTGATGAGAGCACTTTTAATATTTAGGTAATTTAAATATGAAATGTCCAATTTCAAATCAAAAGTGTAGTTTATTATATCTCAAAAAGATGCAGTACAATTAGTCAAAGTATGCGCCTAAATTATTGACATAGTTTTGCCATTTTAATGGTAGCTTGTTTATGCCAGCAGCGAAGAAGCCTGGAGAGTGAGTGGTGATGAAATCGTGAAAGGTCTTTTCCACGGCTTGTTGAGAATTGAATATTTTTCCTTGCAAGAAGTAGTCCAAAATCTGGAAGAAATGGTAGTCAGTTGGATCAAGGTCTGGTGAATTCAGTGGATGACAGAGAGTTTCCAAGTCCAAGTTCTGTAGTTGTGGAACAGTGTTGTTTGTGCAACTTGTGGTCCAGTGTTATCTTGCAAGAGGATTGGCCAGTGTCTCTTGACTAAGCTACTTAATCACAAGCATCCTCATCATTTTGCTCAAGTGGTTGCAATAGATATCTACTGTAATGGATTGACCAGGTTTCATGAAGCTGTATCAGATAATACCAGTGCTAAACCACCAGACACCATTAGCTTTTTAAAATGAATATTCAGTTTTGGACTGCATTTTGGCATTTCATCTTTATCCATCCATTGTGCCAAAAACTTGCAATTGTCGAAAATAGTCTATTTTGCATCACATATAACAATACAGTGTAGAAGTGGTTTGCCTTTATGTCATTACAGCAAAGAAAGGCAAGCCTCAAGATGATTTCTCTTTTGACACTTGTTTAATTCATGTGGAGCCCATCTATTCAGCTTCTTTACCTTGCTGATTTGTTTCAAATGGTCCAATATTGTTGGAATAGTAACATCAAATCATGCTGCTAATTCATGCGTAGGTTGAGATGAATTCACTTCCACTACCACTTTCAGCTCATCATTATCCACTTTAGTCTCAGGTCAGCCACGTGGCTCATTTTCAAGATTAAAATCACAAGAATGGAACTTTTCAAACCATCAACTTACTGTGCATTCATTAATCACATCCTTCCCAAACACTTTGTTGATATTTTGAGCTGTCTGCACTGCATTAGTTCCCCGGTGGAACTCATATTCAAAAATAACATGAATTTTTGACTTATCTGTGGTTTCACAAAAATTGCTCTGAAAAAAAAAAGAAAGATAATCACAAGCCAAAAAGTGCATTTGAAAGACTGAGGATGTACCTTCACAATAAAAATTAAACAAGAAGTGTCAAAGTGAAATGTCAGAGACATTAACTATCAAACTTAGTACTTAAGGAAATCGGACACTTCATACTTAATAACCTTAATAGAGTGGTGTGGGAAACTCCTGAAGGAGTAGGTTTGAAAGAGAATGGGTCCTGTAGAGAAGAATTTCAAATAATTTATATAGATATTACCTCCCCAAGGAGGTGAGTGTAAGCTAAGTTTAGTGACTTGGTTCCAAAAAGTAGAGTGTGGAAGGAGGAGAAAAGTAACTTTGCAGTGAAGAAACCTGACAAATGCTAGTTTGGGCAAGTGATCAAGTTTAACGTTATCAGTGACAAATTATGTTGATAGCATGTACCTTTGATGTGATTTGATGAATGGGCAATTTGCCTCTGTGGACTCCCTCTCAAAACCCACAACTTCGGTCTAACCATGAGAAAAACATTAAACAAATACAAATTGAAAGACATTCTATAACATACCTGACCAGTACTCCTTAAAACTGTTAGTGTCATCAAAAAGAAGGAAAGTCTGAGAAACTGTCACAGACGAGAGTAGGCTGAAGAGATATGACAAGTAAATGTAATATGGTGTCTTGGATGGGATCTTGAAATAGATAAAGAATATTAGGGGAAAACTAGTGAAATATAAATAAAGCATGGTGTTCAGTTAGTAATGTGCCAATGTTGGTTCCTTAGTTGTGGCAAGTTATGGTACTATGTACCATATATACATGCTGTATACCATACTAACATGAGATGTTAACAGTAGGAGAAGCTGGATGAGTATATGGGACCTTTTAGCAACTTTTTGTAAATACAAATATAAAACTATCTTAAAATCAAGAGTTTATATAAACAAAAAAATTCAAGAATGGGAAGAGAGGAATTGGAGATAGCAAATATAAGACAGCTCTTTTGGAGAATTTTGTTACAAAGAAAGGGAAGGAAATGGGGTGGTAACTGTCAGGGAAAGTGAGTTAAGACAAGGTTTTTAGTTTTATTTTTTAATGGGAGAAATAACAGCATATTATTTAGGATGGAAATTATATAGTGGAGAGCAAAACAATTGATGTAGGAGAAAGTGCAAAAATCGCTGGAGTACTATTATTACTTAGAGAGTTTAGGCTCTAATACACAATTAAAGGGACTAGGGTTAGGTAGTGTCAAGTTTGCCTCTTGTAACAGATAAGAATCAGAGAATATGAATGCAAATGGTAGTAGTTGGGAATATGTTATGGTGGCATGCTCCAAATGCTCAGTTTTCCTAGTGAAAGCAAGGTCTTTAGCTGAAAGCAGGGATGGGACAGCAAGTGTGAGAGTTGAAGGAGAAAGATGTGATGTAGTCCTCTGAGGGCATGGAAAAGAAAATTATTTGTGCTAGATAATGTGATTATTTGGTAGCATTTAATGCCCACTCTACTAGTTGATCTGAATAAAAGTGAGACTAGCCAGCATGATTGCATATTTCCTCAAACCATATTTAACTGGAAGCTATAATAAATTAGTTCATATCAAAACTAGTTCTCAGGCATTGAATATATATTAAACCAGATACTTTATTATTTATATTAGTATTTATAGTTAACTATTTATAATACACTTATTATTTCTTTGGTATAACATTAGTATTATTATCCTAATTTTAAGATGATGAAAGATAGTGAATAATTTTGCTTAAGGTCAATCAGCAAGTAGTTTGAAATAAAATTTGAGATAAGTTTGGAAATGTTTTCTTTTAAAATAAGATTTGAAATTAGATTTTTAAAAAATTCTTAGGCCAGGTGAGTGGCTTATGCCTGTAATCCTAGCACTTTTGGGAGGCCAAGGCAGGAGGATCACTTGAGGTCAGGAGTTCAAGACCACCCTAAGCAAGAGTGAGACCCCATCTCTACAAAATGGAAAAATGAGCCAGGCATGGTCGCACATGCCTGTAATCCCAGCTAATTGGGAGGCTGAGGCAGGAGGATTGCTTAAGCCCAGGAGTTTGAGGTTGAGCTACGATAACACCACTGCACTTGCCTGGGTGACAGAGCAGACCCTCTCTCTCAAAAAAAAAATCCAAATTTTTATCTTTGCTGTTGTCATACTGTGTTAATTTTCAAATATCAATATCACAGAGAGAAAGGAAATAAACTAGTTTATTAATCTCAGAATACAAGAGAGTTAATTTGAAAGAAAGTTTTAACATGAATCAAAGGAAATTCTACTTCTTTGTGAACAGTATATTGATAGAAAGGCTTAAGATATAAATTGGATTAAAAAGAATTTATATAATATAGATAGAGCAAAATTGTATCTTCACTTTATTTTCCTTCTAAAATGTCATTTCCTTACAGAAGCCTTTTTGGACCATCTTATCTCAGAATAGCTGAGACCTGTCATCACCATGTGGCTCCTTAGCCTCACTTCTATTCACAGTGCTTATTATAGTATAAATATTATATTATATGCTTATATGTATGTGTTTACCATAATTTTTATGAGGCCAGAGACTTTGTCTCTCCTGGGTACTATCGTGGATTGCTGTATCCCAGTCCCTTGGCACATAGGAGGTTCTTAATTGATGAAAGAAAGAAGAAAGAAAGTAGGCAGGTCAGTTCTTAGGGTAAAATTTAAAGTAGTTCAGAATTCCTGTTATAATACTATATTGGTTATTTATGTTTTTATGATCATAATAGTGCCCTAGGAGACCTGAAGAAATGACCAAGACTTCGCATTCATCCTTTGTTTTTGTATAATTTAGATTGATGACTATATGACTATATTATTATTTATTAATATCTCCCACATACCACTTACCTCCACTCCCTGTTATTATCAGTTACGATATTGTTCACATTGTTAAAATGTTTTATACTTAAGTCTTGTCAAATATAAATTTTGTACTAGACCTTGAAATTTGGAACCAGTAGTTTTATGTATTTTAGGTATTTATTCATGGAGATGTTATAAAATGAATAGTTTACACAGTTTTTTGTACCCTCACTGGGGCGAAAGACAGATCAAATCCCTTAAAGTCTTAGGGATAGCTCATTTTTGTGAATGAGAACCAATGCTAATATTTAGTTCTTTGTCATCTTGCAATTATAACAGTTGAGAGGCATTGATGGTGTGGAAAGGAGTGTGACTTCTCATTTTCTTGCTTTGGATTAGTCCTTTTTGAAGCTTAGTTGTATTGAATTTTCTTCTTTTGGAAGCATGCTAATAGCAGTTCTGATAATAATATAAGCAGATGTGTACACCTCAAAGGTAATTTATAGTTGAGAATGGAAATCTCTTCTTGGAATTTAGGTCTTAGTTTTGACCTTTGGAAGATGATGACATTTTCTTTTCTGGAGTTTGTCAAGAATAGAACATCTGTCATCTTGGTTCAGGTTCCACAGGGGTGTTTGGAGCAGGTTTGCAGGAGAAATGACCTCCACAGTGTACTGTGTACCTTTCTCAATAGATTCTGTCTGATGTGGGGTAGGAGAGAGAGAAAAATTTTTTAATTCTTAATGGTTTTTAACTTAAGTGACTTCTTTCATTTAGTTGTGAGAGGTGGTTGTTTGCTTTATAGTATTCTTATTTTGGACAGTTCTCATAAAACTTTATATAAGAGATAACAAATATCTTATCTGTTGTTAGTTTCATGTCCTTGAAACTATGTTCAGGACAGTTTGGATTGCTGCAGTGGTATAATTTATAATAATTTTGGGAAGTAAGGGTTAAAAAAAATCACATCAAAGGAGCTCAAATTCTGATGGAAGTTGATATCTGAAATTGCTTTATTTCATCCTTAAGTTCAAAATTACCCCCCAGATTCTGGCTTTACACTTGTAAATGCCCTTGTAAGGATTTTGGTAGCTGTCATTCAGGAGTAGAGATCACTTAGACCTCATTAACAGACAATATTCCCTCTGAAAATGACATGGTATCTACTGTAATCCTAGAGTGTTTTAATAGTCTATTCTGTGCTCAGCAATGAAACATTTCAAAAGTGACTGACAGCCAATTGATGTAATTCATGTTGATCTTTTGTGTTGACAGATCTCTAAAAAGTCATGGGAAATTACTACTGTACTCAGTGAAGCCGCCTCCTTTTTTTCTTTAACTGCCAATATCCTGCAAAACAGGACAATTTTCTCTTTGACTGCCACTGTTTTTTTATTTCAATAACATGACACGATTCCTCCTTATTATTAGGATTTCTTTTGATAGATAGAATGTGTTCCCTATAGGTAATGCTAATTTTAAAATAGAAATTTTTTAGTTCTCCAAATTAACCCTCTTAATTTTCTGACTTCTACATCAAGACAACCTTGCCAGTAGCCACATTTCCACTCTAGAAGAAGAATGATTTAATTTAGACAATTTAAATGTTCTTAAATGATTTTAGTTCTCATCTGAAGGAGAAAATGATGAAAGGAAGAAGGTGATAAATTGCTTATTTTGTTGAATATTTTTCCCTAGTGCACTCTAAAGTTAAAATGTTGATGTTTTAGATAATTTTATAGGAGATAGTAATCTTGTGTCCAACACTCAAAGCCTCCAAATTCAAACTGTTACAAAAGCATTATCATTATGAATTGGCATATATTGTTTGAGAATGAACTGTGTGCTTTAACCCTGTGTTAGGTGTTGTGGAGGTGGTTTAGAATAAACTTTCTGATTATAGTCTTATTTGTATTTTTTATTAGTATTCCATAGCATGATACAATGATTCTTCCGAAGTATAGTTCCAACATTTAAATTTGTTTTTAAATATCATTGTTTGTAAACACGTGTAATACCTCCCTTCATCTTCAGTTCCAATTTCTCTTTTGTGTCAACTACCCACTCTCCCCCGGCTCAGTATCTTACTAGACTAAAAGTAGACCTAAATTCATCCATAACCGTATATATCACAACTCTGCCCACCTGCCACAACCCTGCCACCAGACATAGTCTTGTGAAAATGGAAAGTTAAAGACATAGAAAAGAGAGACAAAAAAAGATTCTATTCTGTTTCCTTTACATATTTCTTTTAGACTCTGGGGAATATAAATAGCTTCATAGTTAAGAAATAAGTAGTAGATACCTTTTTTTTTTTTCTCTTTTCCTTTCTACAGCGAGTAGAATCAACTATGGAAAGGACTCTAGTTGATGGCAGAGCCAGAATCTGATATTTCAGCCTAATGTACACAAACTTGCAGCACTCCAGGGCTGCCATCTTACGCTCATGCTAAAAAGTACTGGAAGAAGTCATTTAGATGAGTCCATAATTTGACTTCAATTTGAGTATTAGTTTCATTTAGATTATATGATCTAGAGAAAATCACTTCATTTCTGTTATGATAAAATGGAAGTTATAATTATGTCCATTTAACTACTTCTCCAGGTATATGGGAAGACATGTAAGAAAATGACTTGTGAAGTTCTTTACAAATGTTTATTCTATACAGACAGAAATAGTTACTCTTCCTTATCTACCTCCCCAACTAATTTATAGAAGATAACTTTTTATCCTACCAGTTATGTCTTTTTTTTTAAGGATCTCTTCTATATGAGAAAAGGGAAATAGTGCTAACAACAGAATATTTATTTATTTAAACATATTTAGGGGGTACAAATGGCTTTTTTGCTCCATGGATGCATTATATAGTAGAGAAGTCTAGGCTTTTTAGGTACCTGTCACCTAATAATGTACATTGTACTCAATAAGTAATTTTTCATCCTGTACCACCCTCTCTCTTCTGAGTCTCCACTGTTCATTATGTTGCTCTGTATGAGTGCATATCCATTGCTTAGCTCCCACTTATAAGTGAGAACATACAGTGTTTGGTTTTTTTGTTCCTAGGTTACTTCACTTGGGATAATGGCCTCCAGTTCCACCCAAGAACAACAAATATTTGATCCTCCCAGTAACTCTGTGGGTTAGAAATTATTATTAACATTTTACAAATAAAGAAATAGGCTTAGAAAAGTTAAGAAACTTTCCCAATATCAGTAATTTGTAAGTGGTTAAGTTTCTGGTTTCTGTGACTTCCATGCCCATGTTCTTTCTTCCATAAACTAATGTAGTTAATAAACTACAATCTGTTCTATTAATGACATCTCTCTGTTCATGCCTAATTTTGAAACTTCTTGTTGCCATTTAAATTATTCTTGTTCTTTTAGTGGGAGTTCATGTATTTAATTCATTTGGCAATTATTTATTGGCATGTACTGTGCTAAACACTAGCAATTTTTGTTCTTAGTCTAGCCATTTTTAAATAGAAGAAAACATGTTTAAAATAGAGTGACAAGTATTCCGATGATAGGGGGAAATATGAAATGTTTTGGGATGCCAGGAAAGTTTCAGGTAAGGGAGTAACAGGTAAGCCCATGCTTTAACATACCCGTTGCAGAATATGGATGGCCTTTGCCATCATGCCTTTCATTTACCTTTTACCAGCAGATTCACATTGAGCCATTCATCCTGGGATGAATAGTTAAATGACTTTTACATGTGCTTCTTATTTCCAGCTGGTCCAGATTATTATCAATACGACGCACTTGGAGAAATCCTGTAAGTACTTGGAGGAATTCATCACCAATATCACTAATGTGCTTCCAGAGACAGTTCACACCACCAAGCTCTATGGAACCACAACTTTTAAGGTGAGAGCCCCTAGAGTACTGTGGAACTTCTGCTAGTGAGCATACTCTGAGGCATTCTACTGAACATGGCTTTGTTTCCGCAGGATGATTTATAATATGCTCTTGAGAATAAGTACTTACCATGGTTTTTGTTTCCCTTCTCTATTTTCTTAGAAAGACAAATATCAGTACTAGTTTTGGAGTGTTTAAACTGAAAAGCAAAATAAAACAAACAAAAAATTACAATACAACTGTGTTCTCTAATCTATTCCCTATATTTTGTACATGAAAGTCACCATTTCCTAAGTTGACCCTCATCACAGTCAAGAGTTCTTAAGTATGATCTAGATAATTGTGGTTATGGCTGACATCAATATTAGTTCAAATTTCTTACTTAGCTATCCCGTCCGCTCTGTATCCTGTGACCAATTTTTTAGTCTTACTTTTTAGTGAGGACTTTCTGTCCCTTGCTTTTATAGTTAGCAATTTTATGATAATCTCACAAGGATGCAGCATTAGTTTTGGTCTAGTATTGGATCAAATGGGGAAAAATGACATTCTTGTCAAAGGACAGATAGTAAATGAGTTTCTGGAGTATAAATGCCTTAACTTGGAAGAGCTTTAATAAGCTTAAACTTTATATTGCCATGTGAGCTTTAAATAAGTATTAAGCAGAAAAAGCAACAGGGCAACATTTCAAACATTAAAAAGATAAATCTAACTTACATCGTTTGAGTTTTTGTTTATGTTGTTGTTTTGAATGTTTTAGTTTCGAAACATACTCTGTGTTACTCTGTTGAAACTGAAATTGATGTTAATTAAATATACAGTTGGAGAGTTGAAACCATGATTTATGTCCCCTAGTGCTACGTTTTCCCAATCCTTTTGTTCCCTTTCTCTATATTTTGGTACTTTCTTTTGAGAGTAGGCATAAGAGAGGAAATCCAATTTGCTTCATACTGCTGTTGTATTTGAGAGGTAAAATTGTTGGTATGACGTAACTATTTTTCTGTTGTAAGAAAAAAATACAATGTTGGACCATAAAATATTCTTTTTGTACCTATGTGATTAGGCCATCTGCTAAACTGAGTTACACATTTATTAAGTGACCATAGATTGTTTGTTTTAAATTACCAACAAAATTGCTTAAAACAAAATTTATTATATATCATGTTATGTTTATAACTTCTATATTTCTTAATAATGTGTAATTATATTAATAATGAGGCTCTTTCAGTGAGGAAAAGAATTATTTAATAAAGAGGCACTGAGAATGAGTACAAAAACATAACATGAGCTTTAGAAGCTTCATAATAACTAGGCAGCTTAATAGGAATTATAATTACTCTTAAATACTAGAATTATTATAGAACATGGATAATAACTTTATCAAAAAATTTTTCTAATTTTCTAATTGCTCTTCTATAAGAGCCAAAATTTCCAGAAAAAAAAATGTGGAAGTGACTATATTTCAGTGTTAAGCAGATAATAGGGAGCTAGGGAATTAGAATGTGAGGTTCATTTATTCTTTTCTATCATATGGGAGCTGTGTCATATCTACTGATATTCTTCCCCTGAACCCATCTCAATTTTTTTTATTTCAATGGCTTTTCAATTCATGTTCAGAAATCCTCCCAAAGGATAGCTTATGTATTTTGTTGTTGATCTAGTGTGAAAAATGCTGAGGGAAAATTAAAGGCAGACAGGAAGTGATAGGGGTTGAACAGCCAGTTAAATGCTTAGTAAAGGAGAAGTTCTGGAGACCTCTAAAGGTCATGTTGACAGTGCTTATTGGAAACATTGATTGCCTAAAACACATTGAAAGTTTATTTTTACCAGGACTGTTTCAGACTAGCTAACTTAGAACTCAATATAAACATGGCAATTATAACAGCTACATGTTGTATATTTTCCTAAGCTACTGTTTTCAGAAAACTTTCCCTTGCAGATGGAAACCTTTATGCTGGAAAAGGGGCAAAATGAATCAAAAGGTCTTCAAGGTATTTTCTTGCAGAGTTCCCTCTTGTTTCTGCCACATGTGACATAATCAAGCTGGCATTCTTAGATTTCCTTATTCATAAGATTTTCCTTATTCTCTTACAAAAGAGAATGAAGGTGGTTATTAATTTACTCCATCACAAATATTGCTTACGTATCTACTATGTGATGTATCTAAGATTCTGGCACATTCTTGGGGAGAGAGAGAGAGAAAGTACTTAGTCCCTGGACTTAGAGTTTATGATCTGCAGGAAAAATAGACATGGTACTAGAATAATACATTAAATGTATTCAATCCCTCATTGTTTAACAAGTTTTACAAAGCATATTAGGCCATGCTATAGGCCTGAAAAAAATAAATGAGCCTCCTGACTTTACTGAGCTTATATTCTAATGAACTGATAGATGATAAACCAACACAAAAATCTAATATAATGCCAGGTAATGGTAAGAACTAGGAAAAAAATAAATGACCAAAATGAAATGTGAAAATGAATCATTTGGATTTCTGATAGATACACATTCCCGTCAAAGTGAATAGTTCAGTGGTAGGTACTTGCATGTTCAAGGAATAGCATGGGAGTCACATTCTGCCAATGATGTATCCATGACTGGTGGTGGGGGTGATAAGAAATGAGTTAGTCAGGAATCAGATGATTTCTGGCCTTGTAGACCATAATAAATACTTTAGATTTTTTTGAAAGGGTATATGAAGTCATTGGAAGATTGAGGGTCATGGTGATAATCTGATTTATCCTTTAATGGATAATAGTGGTTGTCATGTGGAAAATAAATACACTGTAAGTTAGTAAAAGTATAAGAAGAGAGTCCAATTGGGAGGCTAATATAGTAGTCCAGGTCAGAGGTAATGGTCACTTGTACCAGAGTGGTAAGAAATATTTTTGGAGGTCAAGATGGTGGGTCTTACCACTGTTTTGAGTATGAGGTTTTATGAGAAAGACAGGAGTCAAAGATAATTACAAGACTTTTGAACTGAGAAAACTGGATGAATGTGGTACTATTTACTGAGATGGGGAACACTGAGAGAATAATACATTTGGGGAGCAGGAGTAGAATCAAGACTTCTGTTTTCGATATACTAAGTTTGAGATATTTAGTTATCATCTTCATAGAGATTTTAAGTTGGCAGGGCAAAGTTGTAGGAGATAAAATTTTAGAATTCTTAAGTGTAAAGATGGTATTTGATGTCATAGGACTTGCTTTCTTGTGGGAATTGAGTAGAAATAGAAAAAAGGTGTGAAGATAGAGCTTCCTAGGACTTCAGCCTTGACAGATTCAAAAGAGAAAATTCCATAGAGGATGAGGTTCCAGCATTGGTATCTCCAAGGAAGATTTCCCAAATAAGGGATGAGTTGCAATGGGTCTTGGGACTAGCAGAGGTTTCCAGGCAGAGAAAGGATGGGTAGGGAGTGAGGGACATTTTAACTGCATATACAAAGATAAAATGATAAATGAAAGCCAGATATATTCAGGATAGAGTAAAGATGGCAGTGAGATATAGAAATAGGTAAATGTCAACCTTTGAAGCACTTTGTTTTGTGTTGATAGAAAATTTGGATTTTATTCTAAAGTCTTTGAAAGACTTCAAACAAGATAGATTGCATTTTTTTTTATTTCGGCATATTATGGGGGTACAGATTTTAAGGTTTCAATAAATGCCCATTTCCCCCTCCCCCCACAAGTCTGAGTTTCCAGCATGACCATTCCTCAGATGGTGCACATCTCACTTATTATGTATATATATATACCTGCCCCCCTCCCACCTGCCCAATACCCTATTACTGTAGTACCTATGTGTCCACTTAGATGCTGCTCATTTTAAAGAAGAAACATTCTGCCTTGCCTAATTAAGAGGAAGGAAGGAATGATAGGAAGGAAAGGAAGGAAGAACTGAAAGAAGGAAGAATGAAAAGAAGGAAGGAAAGGAGAAGAAAAAAGGAAGGAATGAATCACAATTACTCAAAATTCAGAATAAGAAAAAGTTAAATACCTAGAAGACTTTGTGTAACTATGTGCTAATAATTTGAGGATCTGTAGGAAAATATATTACTAAAAGTGACTCAAAAAGATTATAAAACCCAAATTGATTAATAACCATGAAAGAAATGAAAGCATTGTCAAAGACTTTAAAATAGGCCAAGGTCCAGAAGATTTCATTTAGGCCTTTAAGAAATAGATAATTGCTGTATAACTTAAATTATTTCAGATTATAAAGAAAAGTAAAGTATCTCAATTCTTTTTTTCAAAATCAGCATAAAGTGATTCAAAATACAGAGAAACCACATGAAATTATCTGAACACTTAAAGGTAAATATTGATGTAAAAATCATACACAAAAATAAAATCTAGAAGTACATACTTAAATAAAATGAGGGATTAAAATAAAGTTAGGAATTCAAGAATGATTAGTATTAGAAAATTATTTTAAATTATTCACTACTTTATAAGATCCAAGGAGAAAAAATTGAGTATTTTGAAAAACACTAAAAAGTTATTTTATATGTTTATATCTAATCCAGCTAAAATTTCTTAGAAAACTCTTCCATCAGTAAGTGACAAATCCAGGAGTCAGAAAATCAGTATGGATAGCATTGAACTGAATGGCACCATCAATCAACTGCATCTTATTGACATTTATACAAGATTTCATCCAACAGCAGCAGAGTACACATTCTTCTCAAGCTCATACAGAACATTCATGAAGGCATACCATGTTCAGGACAATTAAACACCCTTTAACAAATTTTAAAAAATAGAAATCATATAAAGTTTGCTCTTAGACCATATGGAATTAAAGTTGAAATCGTAACAGAAAGTTAGCTAGAAAATCCCCCATTATTTGGAGATTAAACAACCTATTTGAAAATAAAACATGAACCAAGGAAAGAGTCTCAAGAGAAATTAAAAAATATTTTGAACTAAATGAAAATGAAAATGCAATATTTGTGGGATATAGTGAAAACATTGCTTAGAGAGAAATTTGTATCAATACCATATATTAG